GGAAATGTGACAAAGTAGGGGAAGGGAGGGAGGGTGGCGAGTGTTACCTACAATGGAGCAGAATCCCATCCAGAGGGGGTGGAAATACTCCAATTTGCTGAACCCTTTTAGTTGAGCTACTGAAAAATCTGATTGTTAATTCTCCCCTCTGGCTTTCACCCATTTTCTTTTAAGTTTGTTCAAAGAATTTTGTGTTTGATCAAGAAAACTTTTGAGCATTCTCATCAGTTGTTTTCTGGTAAATGTATGGATGTTATAGGGTGAAGTAACTTGTTTATCACCTCTGGACGGGTAAGGGTTAATGACGTGGCAACTTGGATAGGACCCAACAGTATTGTCTGTGCAGTTTGTAAGCAGACTTTCGCTCTTGTGGTTTGCGGTGCAGCAATTTTAAAGAGTATATCACATCAACAGGCATGATAGATTTCAGAGAAAAGGAGATGATCTTTACACAAATGTGACTGTTGCTTTAATTGATGCATTAAATGGATTTGAAATGGATATTGACCATCTGGATGGTCACAAGGTTAGTTTATGGTTGAGCTTGTGAGTGGCTTCACACGAGATCTGTTTACATAAACATTAAACCAATCAGCCCTTAACACTTTCACCCCCAAGATCTTGTTAGTAATTCTCTTTACTTTCTGCAATACAATTCTTGTTATGTTGGTCCAGAGAATTTGGTTTTGGATCAGCTAATAGTCCCCTAACTGATATTTTTCTTTTTCTCGTCACTTGTCTGCTTTATATTGTATTAACATTGTAATGAGAAATTCCGTCTTGGTCACTCATGGGAGTTAAAGGGTTAAAAGGTTTTTCAAAGTTTTTCTAAGGTTTTTCTCAATGAAAATTGATGATAATTTGATTTCCAGCACTTTACAGCCTACTCCTATGCCCTGAAAATAGTTGTCTTCTCTTGTTTGCCTGCAGTGTATGAGAATGAAAATTTAATGTCTATCACATCTTGATAAGAGTTTTTATATTACACTGTGATAACAGTTTGATATTCAGCTATTTGTATACCACCCCTTTGCACCACTGAGTGCCAATTGGATTGCAAGGATCACCAAAGATAACTGAAAAATAATTCTTGTGGCTTAAATCATAAGAAATGCACGTCAAAGAGCAGGGAGAATGGATGTGGAAGGTTGATGAGTTTGTTTATCCATCAGGTGCACATTGTGCGGGAGAAAATCACATGGCCAGGAGCACGCATAAAAAAGAAAGAAGAAGGCATGCCTAACTATGAAAACAATCATGAGAAAGGAGATCTTTTTATAACATTTGATGTTGAATTTCCAAGAGGTGGCATGTCAGAAAGTGAAAAAGAAGGTAGGTTCTATATCTACCATGAGAATTGATTAACCAAGAAACTAAAACAAGAGTATATTGGAGTTCCATTTTATTTGTTATTGAAATAACACACAGTTAACTGCTGCACTCCTGAAAATTGTACAAAGTGTCCATCAGTAGAGCTATCTGCCTTTGAGAATTATTCCCATAAGGGGATACTAGGGAAAATTAGGGTGGATGTCTGCTTCCGGGAGAGTTAATTAACAGGGGTTAATGTACATGTTTTGTGGAAAAAAAAGAAAAGAAATGCACAGTGAATATAAATATATAGGGTTATGTTACGTTACACCCCTTTTCTGTTAAACCTGTATTTAGTGGTCAACTTGTATTAAGCCATTCCCCATGAGTAATTACTGAGTACAGGCTTGACTGTATATGTTGATGCAGACTGGCCTTTTTTGTATTGCTTCAATACCAGCTCAAAGAAGATAAGGATGCCATTTAACAAAAAAAAAACACTCTTTTATGTTAGACTATTGTATTGCTCATAAATTAGCAAATCACTTATTAATCTTCATCTTTGTTTTCAGCTTTGAAGACCATCTTGAAGCAACAATCTCAACAGAAAGTTTATAATGGACTCTAACCAATTGTTGATAAAATAAGATTTTTCATTATAGGTAGTGTAACATTGTATTTTTCAAACTTTACCTCCTTACAAAAGGCTTTTTAAAGTATCACAAAAGGATAAAATGTTTCTTGAGCTTGCACTTTTTGAATGAAATAACTTGCTTGACGAAATGAAAAAAAGTGCAGTTATTTAAACCTTTACTGGGTGATGTTTCCTAGTTGAGCTTGGGACAGATGATGTCTAGGACATCTTTCTGTTCTTTGCAGAAAGGAACAGGGAAAAAGAAGAGAAGTCAAATACTAACTCTCTGTTCCATGTTGTCAGTAGGAGATCTCCCTCTTTTTTTCATTTAGAGAGAAGTTGGTGTTCTTTCCTGGTAACATTGCTTAATTTTGTTGAACAGATAAGTTTGGTGCTCTTGTCACCTCTTTTGGGATAATGTTGAGAAAGCTGCATTTCACACCCTTTCTGGGAGGAGTGACAAGAGGGCACTGCTGTGGCCTGGGTTTGGCTTAGGTTGAGTTTGTTGTTGGTTCTCATGGCAGGGTTTTCCAGTTTCCCTCCCTCCACAAAACTAACATTTCAAATTCCTATCGGACTTGGAAACAGTCAAATATCCACCACTAAATTCCATTATTATTATTGTCATTGTAAAAATTAAATACTTAACCCAGGATTATACAGTCATGAGAATTCTGATGTGGAAGAATTGTTGGCTCTTTCCTTCTAACCCTCCCCAAGGCTGCATGTTGTAAAGAAGAGTATGAATTTCTTTCTATCTTGGTAAATTATCCATACAAACATTGATTTACAGTTCCCATGTCTTCAAAACACCCTAGCTATGGGTATTCCATGGTTGCCACAGGTCAAAGAAAAGATTAGGAAAATGAAATTTCTTCAAGATCTGGGAAAGTCCAGGAATTTCACTTTGATTCAGGGGAAATTTACATATTTGAAGGAAGTCAAGTGAAGTGAAATTTCAAGTCGTCAAGAAGTTGCCTATTCATCTTCTCCTGAACCTGTTCCTGGTGAAACATGGTGACACTTTCCTTTGTCATGTTGAGGTTACTCGTGTATGTTTTTGAGAACTATTGACATTTCCTGACAATCTTGTCCTTTCCCTTTGTAAAGAAAGTTCAACTTGGTTTGTGAATGTAATCATGCACATGTGTTTCAATTTTCATTGTTTTCACATTTTCAATTCCTCAGTAAGTGTTGCTTTGGTAGATTTTTTTTATAATGTAATTCAATGACAAACTGATGTTAGGTTTCCAACTGAATCAGTCCACTTACCGTGTTACCCTAAAGAGCTATCAATGCATGTACACTGTATGTGACTTTATGTACACTTTTTGTGACTTGCTGGAAACTTAGGTTTTCAGGCTGAGGGTTGAGGTTGTAGGACACTATCAGAAGTCACTTGTGAAATAGTTAATTTGGATGGTTAAAAAGGGAAATTTTATGTTTGTCTAAAGGAAAGTCAGGGAATTCAAAATCCAACAACTATGTGGCAACTATGGTATTATTTCAAAGATATGGAGAAGCACTGAATTTTATTGTTATTACTGATGTAAATAAAGTCTTGTGTTAAAAAAAAGGGTCAAGTATAATCTGCTTCTTTGCTGGCATAGTTTCATGGTATTAAACCTTTACATCCTAACATCAAAATGCATATTCTCCACACTCCTCTCTGTATACTCCCTAAGGTGCTGACAAGGAGAATTCATTGAACAATCAAGATCTTCATTAAAAACCCAATAATTTCCTCCATTCTTGTGTCCTTGTTGTGTATTATTGTAAGGAGAAATTAGATTCTTGTCACTCTTGGGGATCAAAATGTTAAGTAACCACTGGAATAGTGGTTTTGTCAACTAAGCAATTAGGAGGGGTCATGATCACTTAAACTTATTTTTAATACACACAAATTACAATGCCCTCATCTTTGAATACCTAATGCAAGTCCTAACAGTTCACTCTTAAAATCTTGAACTATTCATAGAGTATAGTCAGTATTTGAGCTTATTGGCCTACTCAGCCACAGCTTGGCTTCTTGAGTCAAAAAATCTTGTGCATAAATAGCCTGCATTGCTGGCAGTCTGTGATTTTGGGGGAAGAGAGAAAAATGAAAAAAATTTTCTCTTCGCCCCCAAAATTGCAGACTACTAGCAATGCAGGCTAATGCATAAAATGGTAAGTAGTTTTTATAAACAGAAATTTCTGCCATATCATTAAAACTTCCCCAAATCTAGCCCCAGGTTTCCGTATCTTTCCCTGTCCTTTTAGGAACAAATTTCCCAACATATTGGATGAAACTAGAGTATTTGCGTGACACTGCCAGGCATCATGCCATCCACGAGACAAAATTATCCAGCTATTAATTCAATTTTTTACCTCTTGATATTAGTTGTATGTAAATTTGAGAAGTTAAACAAACAAAAGCAAATTTCAATAGACAAACAAAAGCCAGTAATTGCAAAAATTCTCAATGATTTTCCCTTATTTTTGTCTGTACTTTGTTTACTGCACAGGCATAATGTGATCGTGCCTACACATCCACCACACATCCACCACACAAAACACACAGATGAATTCCCTGTGGTTTCAGTTGGTACTGTTCAGTGCATGCAAGCGATTCAAATTGTAATGCAGTTTTCTTTCTCTGACAATCTTCTATAGTATCCCTGGGTATTCAGAAATATCAAAGAAATACCAGTCGAAGAATTCTTAAAACAAGTTAATCACAGTAAAGCCTGAAGTTAATCACACATAAGATTCTGTTCAAATACCAAAGTTTTCTTGAGCTGAACTTAATTCACATCATGACCAACTCCTGTTCAAAAATATACAGCTGATCATTCCAACCATCTTGAAATGTTCCATACACAGTTTCTGGAAATAGCTACATAAAAGGTTATAACTCTTGTATTTAGTTCAGCATATAAAAAAGTTTCGCATCTGACTCACAGCTGTTCCCTACCAGAGTCAAAATTTCCAACTAAAGCAGAAGACGATAAAGCTGAGAATTTTACTTTCTTGCAACTCATGTTTCTACTGGACAAATTCTGAAGCAATTTGATTGTTTGATTTAGTAGTGATTTATTCCACAAATTTTGGGAATTTCACTGGCTAACAGCTCTTTCACTGGTGAAAAAGCTTAGCAATATTTACAAGAGGGAACATGACAAGAGCACCGATACATGACCCTATCTGTATACAAATACCACACCAAAATAATGCCCGTTTACCATGGTCACGCATGATTGTTGAGATGGTCAACTTAGTATAACTAATTAGAATGCCGCTGACAATACTAACAAAAATCTGGAAACAGAGAAGAAAAATAAGAATTAGAAAACAAGTTAAATTAGATAAAAAATACAGGGCCAAATAATTCCTTATCTACAATCAGCAACAAAATTGTTGACACTTAGACAATTTAAGGTCCCCATTTTTTTTCCAATTTTATCTCTTTTGCTCTCAGTAAGCCAACCTATTCATCCCCCCCCTCCCCCTAAAACAATGTTGTATTATGATTTTATGAACTTTTTGGGGAGGGAGGGTCTTGTCAATGATTTAGAGTGTGGTAAAAAACAGGAGTATTATTCTACAAAATAAATAGCACTCTTCAAACATGATGTGTCAACTAATTTTGAGGCTGATTGTAGGTCTGAGAAACACCTACATGTGGTGGTAGAGCATCAAAGCCTGAAATCAAAAGGTTTGAGGCTTGATTCCTCATGGGGACAAAAAACTTTTTTGTCTATCACCTGTGAAAACCATCTCTACCATCTTCCTTATTCTACTAGCTCTTATGTATCTTTTGACTTGGTTTATTTTACATGGTTCAGAGAATGTTCAGACAACTTTCAGACAGTTCACCTTTTTATCCCCTCAACTCCCAAGATTGGATTGTTAATTCTCCCCTCTAGCTGATACACATTTCCTTGTAAATTAGTAACAAGATTTTGCTGTTTGATCAAAATAACAATTTCTACCTGGTAAGTTTGAACATTCTCATTACCTGTTTGCTGAATAATGTATGTATATTATAAGAAGTAACATGTTAATCACCTCTTTGAGTTAAAGGGTTAAACCACTAACATGCAAGATTCAATGAATCATCATTTTCATAAACTTACCACTATCAAGCTCCCAACACTTGTACCATGCATGGGTGGTGTTGGGCTCATGGCTGCAAGGATGATGATGTATGTGCTGAGGACTGTATACACACTTGCCAACACTGTAACTAGTCTGGAAGATGTTGACGGAAACCATAAGGCAATGAAACAAGTCAATGCGCTCGCTATATTTGACAGTGTGGCAACTATGGAGAGACAAGATATGCACTGTCAAGATGCTAACTAATTCCTGGTTCTTTTTAATTAATTAACCTTTTCACTCCCAGAAGTGATAATCATATAACTTAATTCTCTCTATAACATCCAAACAATATCAAGCAAACAGGTAATGAGAATATTCAAACTTACCACATAAAAATTGTTGTTTTCTTGATCCAACAACAAATTCTTGTAACTAATTTACACAAGAACATGTAACATCTGAAGAGGAGAATCAACAATTCGATCACGTCTAAACTCCCAAGATCTGATTGTTCATTCTCCCCTCCAGCTGATTCACATTTCCTGGTAAATAAGTTCTGAGAATTTGGTGTTATTGGTGTTATAACAACTCCTACCTGATAAGTTTGAGTATTCTCATGACCTATATGCAGGATAATGTCTAGATATTATTGGGAGAAGTTACTTGTTAATCACTTCTGGGAGGGTTAAATAAAGCATGACTAAATCTCTTTCAGAAGGAAGAGTGATTAACTAGTTTTTGTGCCCCATACTCTACTGTACTGAGTAACAACCATTCTTTCACAGCTCTGCATAAAAAGAGGGTAGCAAAGGGTATTCTGATCCTGTTTCACATACAGATTTTACAATGTTACAACAAGTCATACCTCACATATATTCAAACTGCATTTAACATGTCACAATTTCAAATGAAAACCTTCAAATCTCTCTTCTTGTGTGCAAGGTTTCAGGGAAATCTTGAGGTTTTCGTGAAATGAGGGGGAGGCAAATCACACATCACATTGGCTCTTAAATTTACATATCACCCTAGTCTTTCTGTAAAATTCTGACATCACACATTATTTTTGACCTTAATAACAAGAGCTTGCAACTTGTCATTAGCTTAAAACACTTTCCATTGATACCCCACCATTCAGAAATTCCCCTTCACTTTTCAGTATCTTTCCTTAAAAAATGTTGCTTTTTCCCCCTGAGGATTTTCAATACCCTTGAATGGATTAGGTAGGACCATTTTTATAAGCCAAAAGAAATCCCTTTAAGAAGCAAAATGCTGATTTCAGGATGTAAATTAAATTTCCTTTTTAACTTCATTTCTTGCCTGGTGGGTATTCACAAGGAATTTCGGAAGAAACTGCTGATTCACAGACACCTCATAACTGGTAACCCGTTCACTACTTGGAATGACCACGACTTACAACATAAACACAATATCAAGAAGAAACATGAAAAGAATAAAGGAAAATATTGATTGTGGGATTATTCTCTCATCAATCAACAAAATCTTAAAACTAACATTATAAGAAATGTACTGCAGACAGTAAGGAGTAATAACTACAAGATCAGTGCCCGGTCTTTTCGTTCAAGAGTCTTTTCATCCAAGAGTCTTTTTGTCCAAGTCTTTTTGTCAAAGTTATAACATTGTTTTAAATGAAGTTGTAACACGGTATACTTTATTAAATAGTGACAAAAATAAAGACTTGCCATTTAATTATTTCACACGAAAGAAATGGGAATATTAGGCTTGTTGTTAAGCATCAATTAGGCGTAATAGACAACTAAGTGTAACATCACTAAGTGTCCAACATGACCAGTAACATAGCCCAACAAGAAATTTACTTCTACCAAAATGGCAATGGCTCGCGCTAATAAGTTCTTTATATGGCCTCGTCTAGCCTTCTAAAAGTTATTTCTATGTTTCGAGAAAAGACTTTACCATTAGATGAACAGACTTAGATGAAAATTTTTATGGATGAAAAGTCTTGGACGAAGAGACTTTTGGACGAAAAGACCGTAATTCATGAGATCTTACGAGTGAAAGGAGTTCATTATTCATTATTTACCTAAGTGGTATGTCTTGTTGCCATAGGGTATACTGGCGTATGCTTGTATCGATGGCAAGACACCATTGGAAAGGCAGTTTATCCAAGTTTGAATACAGAGCAGAAGTAATATGTGACGTTCACACCAGGAGAATGTATCACTGTTGACAGATTGGTGGCTCAAGTAAGAATCTTGAGGAGAACTGTCACTTGTTGATGTAGACTGAAATCTACTTCTTGTAGTATCATCGAAAAGTGGCTGTGTTGAACTGTTGCTGTTTCTTCGTGTTTTAATTTGTTTTTGTCTGACATGTTGTCTTTTGGCCACTGGTAAATAATTCAGCGCCAAAAAGGCTATCCCACAAATAACCATGATTGTGAACAAAAAGAAGAAAAATCCCTCTGGTGAAAACCTTGATTGGGGAATTAAGTGGGTCTTGTGATCAGTAGTGTTTTTGCTGCTGTTTGTACCTCCATTTTCAATGCCCTGGGCCAAAGCTACTAATGATGGCAGCAAACCACTTGAGGTTTCACCAACAAACAACGCACTCATATAAGTTGATGGGAAAGTAGACATGAACGTGAGAAATACCAAAGAGGATGTACAATCAACTAATGCCAGCAAGAAGGATAAGATAAAAAGAACTGTGCTGTGTTGTTTGCCACCAATAGAGCTTGTCTCGTCCCAATAAAGACCCAACAACGCGCACGCTAAACACCCAATCGCCACAATAAAAAGAATCGTCGTTTTTTCGTGAACGATGTGAGGAGCGAAGCGGTTCCCCAAGGCGTAAATCACGGGGCCGATGTTCGCCAACTGAATGATAACTGTGAGATACGATGGAAGGCTCCACTGTTCTGGGGCATGTCCCACAAGCACAGGCAATTCAACCCACAAACCATTGACAGCTACCCAGGAACCCAGGCCAAATAGACAGATTAGAACGTATGTGGTCCAGGAAATGTTCTTTCTCAAGCAAAATGAGTTCCATTCTGTGCTTCGAATGAAAGCTTGTCCCTCTGCCATTTCGCAAGTTACCGGTAACTCTTTCAGAAGAGAGTTACATAATCATGTATTAATACTGGATCTGGAATATGCCCCCTTTCCCATCGTGACCCAGTCTCGAGCCCAGGGCCATTTTGGCATTATTTTGGTTTAGCGATCATACCGCTGACAAGGAGCCAAAATGACCCTGGGCTACCTTCCTTGAAGACAAT